TTGGTACCCCATTCATCATCAAGACGGATAACGTTGCCACTACCTACCTTCAAACCCAACAAAAGCTCACACCTAAGCAAGCAAGGTGGCAAGAGTTCTTAGCGTAGTTTGATTACAAGCTAGAGTACAAGCAAGGAAAGGAGAATGTGGTGGCCGATGCTCTAAGTAGATGAGTAGAGCTAATGGCTACGGTACTCAAGCCGCAAGCCATCTCTTGGGCCGTGTCCGAGAAGGTTTATCACATGACGTCCAAGCCAAGAACATTGTGGAGTTTGTCAAGGATGGGAAGACAAGAAGGTTTTGGCTTGAGGACAGCTTGCTATACACCAAGGGCAAGCGGATCTACATCCCAAAGTGGGGAAGCTTGAGGAAAGAAATCCTTAAGGAGTGCCATGACTCAATGTGGGCAGGACATCCTGGCACTCACCGCACGTTGGCTTTGGTGAGCGATGGTTATTATTGGCCACAAATGCGGGATGATGTAGATTCATACGTGAAGACTTGTCTTGTGTGCCAACAAGACAAAGTGGAACAAAGGCAACCGGGAGGACTGTTGGAACCACTTCTCACCCCATCAAGACCATGGGAGTGTTTAACAATGGATTTCATCATACATTTGCCCAAGTCTGATAGATGTGGATCTATCTTCGTCGTGGTCGATAGATTCACCAAGTATGCCACTTTCATACCCGCACCTGTGGAGTGCACAGCCGAAGTAGCTGCACGCTTGTTTCTAAAGCACGTGGTGAAGTATTGGGGTGTTCCGAGGAGCATAGTCAGTGATCGAGATGCTCGCGTCACGGGTAGATTTTGGAAGGAGCTCTTCAAGCTACTTGGCTCAAAGTTAGACTTCTCCACGGCTTTTCATCCCCAAACTGATGGACAAACGGAGCGGGTTAATGCATTGTTAGAGACTTATTTGCGGCACTATGTTAGTGCCAATCAACGAGATTGGGCTAAGTTACTTGATGTTGCCCAATTTTCTTATAACTTGCAACATTTGGAGTCGACGGGGAAAAGTCTGTTCGCGTTGGCTATAGGGCAACAACCCTTGACCCCGAACACGGTCGTGACTGGCTACACGGGGAATAGTCCAGCCGCTTTTAAAACCGCTAAGGAGTGGCAATTAGCCCACGAACTTGCTCGAGCTCACTTGGAGAAGGCTTCAAAGAAGATGAAGAAATGGGCGGATCGTAAGCGAAGGAATGTGGAGTTCCAAACTGGCGACCAAGTCTTTGTGAAGCTCAATGCATCTCAGCACAAGAGTACTCGTGGCTTGCACAAGAGCTTGTTGCGAAAATATGAGGGACCATTTCCTATCATCAAGAAGGTTGGCAAAGCCGCTTATGTTGTGGAACTCCTACCCCGCCTCAAGTTTCACCCGGTGTTCTATGTGAGCAACTTGAAGCCTTATCATGCGGACGATGAGGAACCAAGCTGAGGTGAGTCTCATCGAGCACCTCCTTTGATGACAGAGGCATTTGACAAAGAAGTGGAGAGCATTGAATCCAAGCGTGTCGTGGTGCGACCCAAGACAACCAAAGCATGTGGAGTACTTTGTCAAATGGAAGGGGCTACCATACTCCGAAGCAACATGGGAGAAGGAGACGTCCTTATGGCAATATAAGGACCTGATTGAGACATTCGAGAGGCAAGAGTCGACGAGGACGTCTACGGCTTAAGTGGGGGAGGATGTCACGAGCCGTATGTTAAAAACAAAGAAAACGCCCAAGACATCATATATCTAAAAGCCCATAAAGCCTTGTCTTCATGGAAGCTTCTGGAACATCCCGGAAAAATCAAGAACATGACGGAGCGCGTTCAAGATAATCTAGGGCATTCCGGAACATTCCACATAAGTGTACAAATTTAAGCCTCACCTAGAACAATCTAGATTAGGCAAGTTGTATCTAGAAACTATGCTAGATATTTTTGGATGTAAGTAGGGAATTCTAGAACCCTCCATTGAGGAGGTAACTTAGGCCTATAAATAGAAGGCAAGGCCATTTGGCCAATCCATCCAACAATTGTAAGCAATTGTAAAGTTCTCATAAGTTTCAATACAAAGCTTCCTTTCTCCCATCTTCTAAGTGATTTTAGCATTCTCCAAACTATCTTAGCTTTCTTTGTGATTCGATCCGGGGAAGCGAGGCTTCGAAGGCTTACTTAGCTTGTTCATCGAGGTATTCAAGTCTAAGTGCCGCACGGGCGGAAGGCTTAAAGAGTCATCCCGTGACACTAGGCACCTAAACCGCCTAGCCGCCTAGGCGCTAGGCTCCAGCCCGACACCCGACTAAAGCCTAGCGTTTTTTAGAACCTTGCTTGTCAATGAGAGGTCTTAGATTTGATTCTCGCCAAAAGTGAATTTGAACCTCACCTCATTGTTAGCTAGCCCATTGTGAAGATAAGCACACCTCATCCCCTTAGTGTATAGATAATATCAGTTGTTTAAAAAAAAAAGTCATGTAGTCACATTTTTGTCTTCATCAATCAACATTGACTCATGTAAAGTCATGTGATTGTTGTATCCATTATCTATATACCAGACATGTTCATTCTTGACAGTTGTTGCGGAATCGCAAGCAAAGAACATACTAGTGCCTTTGTCCCCCCTCCTTGACATAATGAACCTGTTTGACCATTTTACTCCTACAATCTTTGGCAATATGCCCAAACGTATCACATTTGTGACACTTTGGATTTAAATCAGCATTCACCAAAAATGTAAATTTGCACAAATCTTGCAATCTCCTTTACTACCATAGTTCTTTACAATCACATTTGGCTTCTCATTTTGTTTCACATAGTGTTTCTTCTACTACTTATTCTTCCAAGGCTTATTGCCTTTATAACCACCAACTTGTGAGTTCTGTTTTGGTTGAATACTTAGGCTACTAAATGCTCTTTCATTCACCTCTCCATCTTCAGCATGTCTCATTCATCTTTGCTCAAAACCTTTGGGTGTTGTTGTAGACTCAGTTGGATCAATCTCACTGATTTGCTTTGTACCCTCAATAAAAGATACAATAGTAACCTAAGTATGAGTGAGGCTAATGTACAGCTTCTCTACCATAATTTTATTTAACAAATCCTCTCCGTGCATTTTCATTTGACTCACCAAAGCAAACTATCTAGTCCAATAATCAAATAGAGATTCACCATTACTCATTCTAGCATTCTCAAAATCAAGACGGATACCTTGTAATTTCATTGCCATGACCTGATAATCGCCTTTGTATTCCTGCTTCAACACATCCCAAGCTTTGTTAAATGTCTCTTGATTCGCAATCCTGAAAAAAATTCCGTCACTCACTGTACTTTGAATTAACCTTAGGGCTTTTGCATCTCTGGAAATAAGATCCTGAGCAACAATCAGCTACTTCTCAACCATTTGCTTCTCATCTTAGGGAAGTTCATAGCCATTTTCAGCACAACCCAAGAGATTGTGAGACTTGAAGATAGTCATCATTTGACACACAAAAAAATTCATAGTTGACAATATTGAAAATCAGAGCTTGAATATCAGCTCCAGATCCAGACATTTTGTTCTTCAATTTATTTGAGCTCTTGGTTGAAAGCTCAAAGAACATTTCTCAGATCATGCCCCTCATTCAATTCGAACCTAGCTCTAAGGCCATGTTAGTGTGTTTAGGGGTGATGAACTCGATTTCCAATAGGATTTAACTCATGAAATCACTGAGAATGTGATCGTCGAATTGTAGAGAAATGGAAGAAAGATGGTCACCAATGTAATCTCTCAAGAATATATCTACATTGGATTCTCTCTCTCTCTCTAAAATATGTTAAAAAGAAAGCATGAGGAGCGTGTGATATAGCTGTTTCTAGGCATCACACCTCAATAACAACGGCACACATGAGTTGCACATGATCAAATTAAATCAATTATAAAACAAGACATGTGGCACAATCTACACCATTTAGATGTTATAATCGTGACCATCCATTAGAAACTTTGCGAACTTAAACTTCAAAAAAAATCCTGAGATTTTTTTTTGGTCAAACGATAGATTTGTTAGATTAGATGTTAGATTAAGGAGCCGACAGGGTTTGAACTTGTTGGAAATATTTTTGATAAGGATGCTACTTCTCCTACAACAAATCACATAAAATAATGTTAGTATATCACAATTTTATCACCTCAATTTATTAAATAAAATAAACCAAATAAAATAAAATACTTAACTTCTGTAGGTAGAGAACGTTCTTCGTCGATCCTCAATTAGAACAAGATTTTAGGTTGAGGTGTGTAGTCACTGTCCTTAAGAGTAGATTTTGCCCCTCTAAGACAATGTCTCGGTGTAGCAGGTTATGGCGCCTTACCATCCAGGATACAACAACCTATAATCATCTTAAGCGTACACTCACGATACTTGGATCGTACGAACAACTTGATTTTCCTTTGGCATATGAGAGATGAAATTATAATAGCATTTGAGAGAATACAATAAATCAAGAGAGGAGAGGAAGGTGGGATTCCTTTAATTAGGTGAGGTTTGTAGGAAAGAAAATATTTGAAGTCCAATAGCAAAAGGAGTAGTCTAGGTAAAGATCAACATAATCCTTACGGCATGAAGAGTTGTTTTTATATAGAACATGATAAAGGTAAACATGATCCTTGCGCAAAGGTCGTGAAAAAAGACCTCGTGAGCCGAAGAAGTCCACATTCGTTGCGCGAAAGGTATACGGACAAAGGCTTTCGTCGCATGATATAAAAGGGTACAAGTGTTTTGTGATGAGAATTTCTGGAGACGTCTAAAATTCGTCTCGAAAATCTTTGCACGACGAAACATGTAACACGCGCGTGGTTTTACACGACGACAGGTATGCGTCGCGCAAGTGTAATTTTTAATAAAAAATAATAATAATAAATAGAATAAAAGGAATATTATTAAAAATATATATTTCATACAATTCAGAAGAAAAAAAAAACAAATTAATGAATAAAAAACAATTTTTTTTATAATATAAATAAAAATGTACAAACAAATACAAAGTTTAAAAAGAAAGAGGGAACAAAAACTATGAAAAAAATAAGGAATAGTCTATACGCAAGTCATTTAGAGGTGCTTGGTAATCTTGCTGCTAGAAGAAGGTGGGGTTAGGGACGGGGTCGAAGGTCGACGGGCCTGATTGCTGTGTATGCACGGTGTGGAGGGGCTCTGACGGTCGTGGTGCAAAAAAACTGGGGAGACGGATCCCGGAGGAACTAAGGGCTTGTACAAGCATTCACATTTAAGACATGTACGATGCAAGCTCACTCCTCATGCTAGCGACTTCCTGCGTTAAAGCCATAACCTCGCCCTTCGATTGCAAGGATGAAGATGCTCTACTCTCCCTCCACCTGGCATTTCCCAACCCCCGACAATATGTCCCTTGCGTCCGACCAAAAGTGTGGTTGAACGTCTCTGTAAGGATGTGAAACCCCGCATCTTCAGAGGGATCCACAGATCGATTGGCGTGTCCTAGGGAAGCTGGGAGGCGAACTCCTGAAGCAACTAACCCTTCTCCACCATAGTCGCCTATGAAAAAAACATGGATTATTAATAGAAAACAATTTGAAATCATTAGTATAAATCTTTAATGCATAAGAAATTACTTGCAAGAAGTAACTCGGTCAACTCATCCCAGGCCGAACATAAACGTTAGCAAAGACATCGATCTCCGGGAAATTTGAACCCTCCTGAAATAGAAAAGATAAGGAAAATGTTAGTACGAAAACAAACAAAAAACATTATTAGCGACATTTTAAAATTGGAAATAAAAGCTGTAATATATACCTTCTGCCACGCCTACATCCTATATGAGAAAGGCCTTAAACCCGAATGGTGGAAAAGAGTCTTCTTCTCCCGATTGCCCTTGCCCTTGTTCGCCTTCGCCTTCTTCTGTTATACACAAAATAAACATATTAGTCGTAATATTTAAAGAACATAAAAAATTTAAAAAAATCATAATAAACATTAGTAAAAATTTTAAAAAGTAACATGAAAGAAGTCCTAATTAAAAACGCACCACATAGCCCGGCTCCTGAAAATGACCGCAAAGTCAATCCCAATTATCTTGTCGGTCTTCAAGCTCGTTCGGGCAACCCTCCTCGAGAGCGACCTGCGGATCACTAAACATCTCGAAATACTGGTGCAAGTCACTCTTCCACAACTTGTAGCGTTCGGAGTATAGCCGATTGAGGTACGTCAACATGTCCTCGTTGATGTCATCCAAATTGTAGTTTGTCTACATGTAACAAATATTATGAAAGTATTATTAATAAAAGACATTAATAAATATAAATATATAAATTTTAGATGAAAAGCATTAAAAAGGCAAAAATACTTACTAACAAATTATTGCACACCGTGTTCTTCACCTTCTCTAGCATCGCCTTCCAAGACTTCCACTGCATAGGGCAAAAGGTCCGCACGACGTGCCCAATGTCATGGCCCAATGCTCTATGCTACTCCGTCGTTGGTGTTGTCTGATGTCGCTCATCATATCCGATTGTGATACGATCATTGGTCACCCGGGTGACCTTCGCCGTCTTCAATTGCCGACAAGGTCCCCAGGTGTTTTTCTTGGCTGGCAAAGAAATGAAAAATTAATAACAAATCATACTAAAATTTCTGCATAACCTCCATATAATGAAAACATTTCCCAAAACCCTAAAAATAACATAAACAATATACATATCCAACACAATGATCACAACAGTTTAATAAGAGGTTCGGAACGATGACAACAATAAACAATATATATATATATATATATATATATATATATATATATGATAACTTTTTAATCCTTAAATGACATAACTTAACAAACTGAACCTAAAATAACAAAACTAAGTTAACATGGGAATGAGGTAGTAAATTAGGATAGTATACCTAGCTGTGTACCGGAGGCATTGGTTGTGGATCCCGTTGGCGACATCTAGTATGGAGTGCGGGGGCACCAGTGAGCACGTCGGGCGCTAACAGGTAGCACCACCGAAGAAGTCGAATATGCCGGTGCCAGTAGGACTGGAGGACCAACTGGGTCAAATGGATTCATTGACCTATGGTCCATCTCTGCCGAAGCAGTGGCGGCAGTAGTAGGTGTAGTCGTCGATCAAGGTGTAAAACTCATCGCCTTCCGGGTTCTAATGAGCTATTACATCTACAAAATTGGAAATAAATTTGTTAGATTACAAAGATTTAAATTACCGTACACATGCATAATAATTTCTACTTAAATTTAAAACGAAATTTAAAAACCCTAATTCTAAACCCAATTCAAGTTTGGCAAAAACAAAACTTTAAACTGATCTACTATACACAAACTAATCAATGTCATATAGGATCAGTGGTGGATCAAAGATTTTAACTTAGGATGGTCCCAATATAAAAGCTCCAAATAAAAAAAAAAACAAGTGCTAATTGCCTGGTCTATAAGACTATAAAACTCCATGTGCCTCTATCCATTTGAACTGTAGAACAGTTAAAATTTGAGTAAAGATTGCAACTAGGCTGAAAGCATGCTATTCATATGCAGCATCAGTAGGTGTAGCATCATTGATGCACCATCAGTAGGTGTAGCATCATTGATGCACCATCAGTAGGTGCAGCATCATAACAGGATGGCAAAATTATTTAATGGACAGATTCAAAGAGAGTACAAACTACAAACCTTTTCGACCAAGAAGAAGAGGACCAGCGGCTAGCCTCCAGAGTCCAGACCAGAGCTTTACATGGAGAAAAAATGTAGATTTTCACCAGAGATGTCGTCGACTCGTCGCCCCGCCCGTCGGTGCAATAGTGAACAGAAACTAAAGTGCAGCAGAGAGTTGATCGATGCCGAAAGGCATAGAAGCGGGCCGAGCGGCAGATGATTAGATATTATTGGTAAAGTGAAGGTTCTGAATGCTGAATGAGTTGATTGCTCTATCGTGTGAGGGTTCTCATGTGACTCGTGAGTGAGGTTTTAAATTTTTTTAATGACTTGGCTCAAACCGAAGTCGTTTTGGACAAGTCATTTTGCAAAAAAATTGGCTTTCTTCTTTCTCCTGATGAAATGCACAGCCTAATTGAGTTAATCTATTCAATTATTTAAAAACTCAATCAGGAATTAAAGCCTAATTGAGTCCAAATACATAACTTATAAAAAAAAAAAAAACCTTAAATTTAAATAGTGTCCTCAAAAACAAAAATTTAAAACTACTATTTCGATGGTGCTCCACTCTGCTTAACGTCATAGCGCCACCGGTTGTAACCTCCCTCCAACGCCGCCTCCATCAACTTCATCAACTCTTTGTTCGTATCATCATCAAGAGTATACTTACAATGTTACACATATATGCAAATAATTCATTCCAACATATAACAAAAAAAAATTCACAAAATTAATTATTGATCCATCAACAGCATAATTACTAATAATTCATCCATCACCACCTTCTTGATACAATCGTGCACATATTTCCTAGAACGCCACTCAGCAGTAGAACAATTATTCCCCATGCCTACAACAATTGCATGTGCGAACTCCACAAGTTGTCTCAAATCATACGGGGTTGGTGATGGATAGCCAGTCAAGCATATATAGAATTTTAGTTGACAAGTGTTGATGACTAGCCAGTCAAGCGTATATAGAATTTTAATTACAGGATATTTCACTTGGAACCAATTTCATGCTTGAACGTGTGTATTGTGTAAACTCTTCACTATTAATAAGAACTCATCTACCCTCTATATCTTTACATATTATCCTCACTAGGTGACGGAAATAACTTTGTGAAGGTAACAAACTTGACACCATACGTCGTTCCATAGTCTCACTTATTTTGTGCATCACCATTATTTGTAAATAGTCTCTTACAAGCAATTGAGCCCGCGTGTGCCATCAGTTTTTAAAATTGTGTTAAACAGGTGGAATATATTAAAATCAATTAGAATCCTTATGTTCAACAAAGAATTAAAAATAGGTGTTTATAATACATAGCAAAAGTTTTAAAAATATGTACAATACAATCCTCGACCAATTCAAGCGTACACTTTTTCTTTTCTTCTATCAAAATTGTCATGTAACCCAAAGTCATATGCAAAGTCAGCTAACTGAAAACATTTGTGTTCAGTTGTGTAAAAAGTTGATCACGCTTTAATTGAAAAAATAATCGTTAATACAATTAGGAAAGAAGGGAAAGATGATTCTCATGAGGAGTTAGAAATATTTTGACTTCAACAAGAAGATATTGACAAGGTTTTACATACGTACCTGCAAGCTCAAAGCTGTAGTATTATCTCCAAAAAAAATAATAAATAAATAAAATAAAATTATTCCATCTTAAAATTTTATTTGTGGTGTAGCTTATTATTGTCCTTATTAACAAAGGAAAACTAATAAAAAATTGCTTAAAAACTTTGAGTTTTAACGATAACGACAAAATAAAAGGTAAAGTGAATAGTACCAGGATTGACTTTTTAGTGTAAAATTGTGGTTTTTTGTTAAAGTGAACAGTACCAGGAGTTTTTCGTTAAAGTTCCCTATTAACAATTACTACCATGTCGAACTGAGTTTCCTTACAACAGGACCTATTAAAATGATAACTTATTACAATGTGAAATTTATTCCTAAACCCAAACATGGACTAAAACTTTTTATGACTACAAATAAGTTATTCGTTTATAGAGAGAGGTTTTATTGTAGCATTCACAGCACTTATAGCTTTTTATTGAATTATTGAATCTCAAAGAATGTTTACATTATTGCAAGGAAATACAAATGCATAAGGAATTGAAATATAAATACATAAAAAAATAAAAAAATTATCCACTTAAATGTTTATAATGAACTGTAGCTTTCTTTGAATTTATTCTTCTTAAGAAAATTTTTGAACCAGTGTGCTGAGAGTTTTGGGTATCTTTTCAGGCCATCTTTATAATCCACGTAGTTTAAACCAAATCGGACAGTGTATCCGGCAGTCCATTCAAAGTCGTCTAACAATGTCCATGCAAAGTATCCCTTCACTTTCGCGCCATTTCTGCACACACACACACAAATGTACAAATTGGTTAGGTCAATATAATGATTAAATAACCATAACATAAGAAGGCTAGGCAGTATATAGCCTTAATCATTTTGTTAATAACTACTTACTTGATCGCCGCTTGAAGGTAACACAGGTGACGATAGTAGTAGTCAATTCTACTGGTATCATGAAGGGCCTCTTCAAGTGATAGTTCTGGATTATTCAACTCTGATACACCTATGTACATATTATTACACACAAAAATTAAATTTAGTTTCTTCCTCTAAAACTAAAAGAAAACGTGTAGTTTCATTTTACACCACTATAAATATGTGAAACTTTTGCAATTAATCAAGGCTTAAAAGTTTGTATTACATACCATTCTCAGTAATATAAATTAGTGGATCATTATATTTTTCCTTTGTGTAAAGCACAAGATCGTGAATTCCTTTTGGATATACATATAACCAATCTGAAGCAGCCTGCAACACCATTTGAAGATAATACATAAATATTGGGGGGAAAAAAAAACTACTCCTCCAAATGCAAATACCTCAAAATGATAAATTTGATATTTACCTGTGGACCAATGAGTGCTCCATTAAGCTCAGCTGCCACAATATTTACAAACATTAGAATACAATTGGTGTAAATATTAGAATATAATTAAAGTAATTAAGAAGTTAAACTAGGCAAAGAAGTACAAAGAACTTAAGCTATTCAAACTAAGTTTCCTTTTGCACTCACTTGTAAGATCAGCTCGAGAATCTGTTACGTAGCTTGCCGGTAGTGAATTGTTGTTGGGTGCACTACTTGCGTATCTAGCAGTATAATAATTTATTCCAAGAAAATCAAATGATCCGTTTAGCAACTTGGATTGTTCTTTTGTGAATTTGGGCAATCTTTTCCCAACAATTGATCGCATGGTGTGTGGATAGTCACCACTTGTTAATGGGTCCAAAAACCTACAAAACATGACAATTCCGGATATTAGCCTAATTATATTATTATATATAAAGAGTACTGCTAGCTAGGTAGTATCAATGTTTCAATTCATAAGTAAACATGTAATTGGGTTGATATATAATTTAATAAGACACTTGCCATCCAAACATAAAATCCAAAGATCGTAAGGCAGCATCTTTATCTTGCTTTGAATCCGAAGCAGGCTCAAACCAGTCTGACACCAATGTTATCCCTATCAGGCCTTTTTGAGTTGCCTACACAAAAATACGAATTTTGGTTGAACAAATAGGAGCTATGGAAAAAGATACAACCTTTAGATTATCTCACTACAGAGAGTATTCCCTCTTGTATTACAACTCAATAATAATGATTCATATAGAATTCTCAATTAGGAGCCAATAATCTGACCCCAAAAAAAAAGAACAAAAGTTATTGAACCTGATATCTATTCTTGTACAATTCTACAGCTGCTCCATGAGCAAGAAGAAGGTGGTGTGCCACCAAGTATGGTTCAATGGCTGAATCTCCACCGGTGCAGTTTAGGTTTTGCCAAGAAGAGCAGCGTCCCGGTACTTGAGTACCAACAGCATAACCCATGTAACTAAAAGTATATGGCTCATTTTCCGTGAACCAGTGCTTGACTCGATCACCAAATTCCTTATAACAAAGTTCCGCATAGTCTTTAAAATGATCGCTGTAGATACACATTTATGTTACGAATATCAGTATGCATTTTATCAAATTATCACTGAGAGAATAAATTTTGTTCACTTACACAATACGAGGGCTTAAGAAACCACCATATTCATCTTCTAAAGCTTGGGGAACATCCCCATGAAAGAGTGTCACAAATGGCTTTAATCCTATATATACATGATCAGTAAAATCAAATTAAAAGTCTGATTGAATGATGTTCTAAAAATTAAAAGTCCTTGACCCTATATGAATACAATGAATGAATTCGATCTTCAATTTAAAATATTTACACTAGTGGATATCACAAAATCTTATGTTATACTTAATGAAAGTAAGAATAAACTTTTAAGTGTTAGTTAATCTATTGTTTTGATGAGATACGCATTCTACGAAACTAGTTTCAACGATCTAACCATCATACTTGTTTGTATATGGTTCGAGATCGCATACGCCAAAAATTGCAAAAAACAAACATTCAAAGATTAAGTAACGGGACAAAACTTTTCAAAGGTTATAAACGAAAAATCACAATTTAATGGTTATTTTAACTCCGATTTTGATGATTTTTTACAACTACACTCCTTTACCCTATACGAATACAGTGATTGAATTCGATCTTCAATTTAAAATATTTACACTAGTGGATACCACAAAATCTTATGTTATACTTAATGAAAGTACGAATAAACACACTAGTGGGTCACTTTCATTAAGCTTTGAGTTTCATTGGCAATGTTTAAACTTTTGAGAAAAACTTTACAACCTTGAAAACAAAAACGCTTTCATTTTGCATATCCTTGCACATTTAATATTTGTAATAGATTAGTAGTGTATGGATGTATTTTTTATGAGGCTCTTATTTTCAAGTGTAGATGTAGTATTTAAGCGACAAATGTGTTTTAATGTTTCGAAGTAATATTTATGTGACAATGTGTGGTATGTGCAAATTTAAGGAAAAAAAAATAGTTTTCTTAACGGGTCATAACGGGTCGGGTCACTTTACCCGTTGGGTAAAGTGACCCGACCTATTAAGGACCCGTCCGTTAAGATAACAGGTGTGACACGACACGACCCGTTAAGATAACAGGTGTTACACGAACACGACTGACACGACCCGTTTGCCAGGCCTACCCATACCCACAATAATATATTATAATACTCATACCACTACCCATCCCATA